ATACGGCATTTCATGAATACGAAAAATACAATATAGTAATACAATATAAAAAAATACAATATAAACACAATATAAAGGTCTTCCTACCTGACCGAAGACTCAACTCTGCTCTGCTCTACTCTACTCTACTCTACTCTACTCTACTCAACTCTGCTCTGCTCTACTCTACTCTACTCTACTCTACTCTACTCTACTCTGCTCTGCTCTGCTCTACTCTACTCTACTCAGCTCTGCTCTACTCTACTCTACTCTACTCTACTCTACTCTACTCTACTCTACTCAACTCTACTCTACTCTACTCTACTCTACTCTACTCTATTCTACTCTACTCTACTCTACTCTACTCTACTCTACTCTACTCAGCTCTGCTCTGCTCTGCTCTGCTCTACTCTACTGTACTCTACTCTACTCTACTCAACTCTGCTTTGCTCTGCTCTTCTCTACTCTACTCTACTCTACTCCACTCCACTCTACTCTACTCTACTCTACTCAACTCTGCTTTGCTCTGCTCTACTCTACTCTACTCTACTCTACTCCACTCCACTCTACTCTACTCTACTCTACTCTACTCTACTCTACTTTACTCAAACAACACAACATTGTAAAGTATATAGTCAATACTACACATTGTTAAGTCTGTCACATTTGTGAATAACTTTGGACATACGTGTTTGTTTTATCTCTTTTTAGATATTGACGAATGTGAGAGTGGTGCGGCAGATTGTTCTCAACTCTGCATCAACACACTCGGGTCCTTCCAATGTGCCTGTCACCCTGGGTATAGTCTACTTGCTGATGGCAAGATGTGCCAAGGTAACGTGAAAATTTGTCTATTTGCCTGTACATCCAAAATGTAATTCATAATCGTTTTATTTGTCAGATCCATTCAATTGCTTCATCCTTATGTCTTATTGCATTTCATGTTAGTTTTCATATTGAAATTCAAACTTTGAAACGATATGACATATGTGTGTGTCTGTGTCTTTTTTTTTGCACATTTGTAATCAGCAGAACTCAATCAGAACGCCTTTATGGATTGTGATGATATTTGATATGTTGGTAGATCAGAGGATGACAAAGGTCAAATCTGGTCCTCCGAAGTAATAAAAAGTTTTAAAATTCTACATATTTCATGGAGGTATGAGACCTCCGAATTCTAGTTCAAGTATTGTACTCAGTTGCGTTATCTGAAAATTATACAACAATTTTGTATGTCACAGCTGGTGGAGGAGGGCCAAGGACAGTTCGAGCATGTGAACACAGCGGGGTCCCTGTGTCCCTGGATTGCTCCTCGGGTACGATCCACATAACGGCCGCCCTGTACGGCCGCAAACAGCACGGGCTCTGCCCGGGACCTGTGTATACCACGGACTGTGAAAGCTCCAGAAGCCTGTCGACTGTGAAGTCCAAATGCGACGGACACAGCACCTGTTCTGTCCAGGCGTCAAACAGCCTGTTTGGAGATCCCTGTCAAGGGACGGTGAAGTATTTGGAGGTCACATATCAATGCGGTGAGTATAGTTACCTCCATGAAAATGGATGTATTGTTTTGTGTCTGTCTGTTTGTCTATATATGTGTGTGTGTGTGTGTGTGTGTGTGTGTGTGTGTGTGTGTGTGTTTCCGCAACTTTGTGGTCATCATAACTTCACTTTGCAGTGAAATTGCAGGAGACTTTCTGGTGAAGTCTTTTAAAGCCGATAAGTCCAGATAGGAACCTCATTTTTGGTATGTAGGTACTCGTACATGCCAAAAATGACGAAAATATGTTGTTTCTATCTGGACTTATTGGCTTTAAAAGTTTTTAACAGAAACTATTCTGCAGTTCCAGAACAAGATGCTAGGGGGACCAAACTTACACCACTTATTTCTGACAGACCACTTATTTCTGTCACACCAAAAAATCAAGACCATAGCATGTTCATGACAAAAGATTAAAAAACTGGAAGTTATGCTGCAGTACCAAGGTCTTCCACCAGGAGGCCCATATTTGACCCTGACCTTCGTCCTCCTAAGATTTACCAGCATACCAAATATCATCACAATCGATAAAGGCGTTATGAAATTATGCTGACTACAAATGTGCGGAAACACACACACACGCACACACACACACACACACACACACAACATACATACACACACACACACAGACAGGCCAAAAACAATACCTCCATTTTACAGGTAACAATACCTGTAATAAACAGATCCATATCATATCACATGTAACAAATGCTGTTTTTCCTGCAGAGGTAAATGTTGCCCTCAGCAAAAAGGCCACACAGAGCAGTTTGCTGAGATCGGAATATCCTGCGGAACGAGCTGTGGACGGAAACACAGGAACCATTCTGTACCCTCGACAGCAATGCACACACACGGACCTGGAGTACGAGCCGTGGTGGAAGGTTAATCTTGGAGACACTTACGTCATCAGTCACGTGACAGTCATTAACCGCGGAGACTGCTGTGGTGAGTAGATAGGCAGCAGTCGGTTAGAACTACAATTATTATAAGTTGTTATCTTTATTACACAATGCGTAAAATTGTAAGATTTACTTTAGAGATATCAAAGATTAACCGTACATAATAATACTTTTATATACGGTATTACATAAAAATCACATTTCCTAAGCTAAAACACATTTACTTTGATGTATAATTTCTTCATCAGTAGTGAAGGGTGGAAACTTACAGTGGAGAATTTTTGTTCTCTTACAAGTTCAAAAGTTTCAAAGTAAACGCTATCCTCCGACTAAATTATTCAAGACCAAAAAGAGCTTCTAAAAAAAGTTAGCACACTAGTTCTAAAAAGATAGAAATACACCTCTTACAGGAGAACGACTGCGAAACTTCATGGTACGAGTCGGTCCACATGGGGACTTCCGTGAAAATACACCATGTGGTGACATTTACTCGGAAACTCCATCGGAAGGAGAGACTATCGACGTTCGGTGTGAGGAGCCCATCTCAGGGAGGTGGGTGTCTGTCCAGCTGATCGGCCGGGAGGACTACCTGTCTCTGTGTGAGGTACAGGTGTTTTCAGGGACAGGTAAGATGTTATCACTTACTTTTTGGTAGACGTTCTGGCCTCATTAACTTTTATATTGCCCCAGCACAGTCCCAACAAGAATTCGTAGATCTCATACCTCCATGAAATATATGAGTCTTTGTAAATGACATGTCCTCATTAATTATGCAAATGACGCAACATAAACATAATATATGCATAGTGAAAAAGAAAAGGTGATAAAGTCGTTGAATCTTTTCTAACTGGATAAATTGAAATTTTAATACGTAAATGTTTCAGGTACCATCCGGTACCTTTCATCAGTACAAATGTAGAGGAAATTTTTATTTTAATTTTTATTTCTACATTTGTGTTCTGATGAAAGGTACCGGATGGTACCTGAAACGTTTACCGTTCCTGGTATTAAAATTTCAATTTATCCAGTTAGAAAAGATTCAACGGCTTAAATTTATCACTTTTTCTTTATCCTGGATGGTTAACCTTCACCAACGTATATGCATAGTGGTGTTAACCTTTAAGTAACTTACACGTGTCACAAGGTATAAAACACACAGACGCGCCAAAAACAATACCTCCATTTTTCATTGAGGTAACTATTCACATTTGCAAAAAAAGGCTGTGGAACAGACGGTTTTAACGCGTGTCATATGAAACTAACTCTTTCAGGAACATTACCGGGTATTCAGTTGATTTCTTTTTCATAATCTTCACATATCATCCGTTTTTGAGAACGATTTACTAGAATGCTGTATATCTTATGCTATACCTTTTCACTCAGAGTACGATTCACATAAAAATCACATAGACATCGGCGGAGAAAGAATATACAGACAGTCATAATTTTACATAATGGGTGGAGAGCCAACGTCACATTTAGATAACATCTTTTCACATTTGAAAATGTGATTTTTCTCGACCATTCACTGCAAATGGGAAAAAATGTGACGCAAAAAAATAACATTTTTTATTTTTTCACAAAGGTGTCGCGCTTCAGAAATGTTATTTTATGTGATTACCTGTCAACTTATGTGATAAAATGTGATGCTGTTTAACCTCCAAAAATGTCATATTACGTCACATTTTGTCACATTTTCTCATAATTTTGCAGCAAATTCACATAATTTTCACATTTATGCACCTGGTAGTATGTATGTAACGTACGTTTTCGTATAACATCTTTCGTAATCGTTCAACATTTGGTGCAGTAAATCTTTTCAATGTTCCCGTCCTTCTACAGATCGTTCCTGTAGCAGGCTTCCTGAGGTTGAACACGGCATGTTTGAGGTGTCCTCATCAGACAGTACAGTAGGACGTGTGGTGTGTAACGACGGGTACCGCGTACTGGGAAACCCCGTGCTTCGGTGTGACATGACCGGCCACTGGGGAGGAGCGCTCCCGAGGTGTATAGGTGAGAAACTGCCTTTAGCAAGAAGGCGTTGAGAGTATTTAACCTTATCTCATTCTTAGTTACAGAAGTTACAGAGTTGTTCTATGACATCTCACTTTAAAAAAACCATGTCATTGATACTGTTTAAGGCCGCAGAACACAGTAATAATGAGCGACCCCCGGGGTCTTTAACGCGGGTATAGAAAGTAATGCAGACAAACGTCTTGCATTCTGGCTAGAGCGACTTATGTGAGAGGTAGCCATGAGTGAACATATTAGTTGGCCGTGATTCTCTAGTGCACCCTACTGTAATGTTTACCGCGTCGAAGTGAGTCACCTCAGGGTAATTAACTATAGGAATCCCCATAGGGCGAAAATTGTGTTTTGCCACCTTAAGAGGCATCATGTCATTTAAGGGGGGGGGGGGCGCAAAGCTTAAACCTTCATGAGAAATGCGTATATATATCAGCATATCTGCATCTGATTCATTATTTTGTTTGTCTGGTGCAAGTGAACTGTGCACAACCACAAAAAAGTCGCTCCTGATCTTGACAATAACATCCTGTCCCGCGGTAGACCTAATCGAGCTACCGAGTAGTTAAATACTTCCCAAATATACCAGTCTTTAGAGTTACTATGAAAAGATATCACAGCAAAATATAATTTCTGGGTTACATAGTGGACCTTAACATATTGTGGATGCATTTTTTGCCTTTTCCATGAAGTGCACGATTGTGGAAAGCCGAAACAACTGAAGAACGGAGCTCGACTAGGATCGGGCCACGCCGTGGAGTACAACTGTAACAAGGGTTACCTCATGGTGGCAGGGGACGGGGTAAGGACCTGTCAGTCAAATGGCGTGTGGAGCGGAGAACACCCCGTCTGTAAAAGTGAGTAATTCATGAAATAGTTGAAGGAATTTCCATTGTTTATATGGAAAGCTTAAAGACTACAGAAACAATATTCAGTCATGACTGTTACAGAACCTACATGTGTTTGTTTGCTTGTGTTGTTTGTTTGTTTGTTTGTTTGTTTAAATTTGTTTCCTTGAGTTGAACGTTTTGCACTTAGTTTAGGTCACTTGCCTACATCGTCATGCAGTTTCTTTTTAAATCATTGCCCCGGTGTCTTTTCACTACTATACAATCATCTATTTAATTTCATATGGATTGCCCTTGCTGAAGAGTCAAGGGCAAGAGTATTATCTTTGAAAGACATAGATGCTACTCATTAAACGTTTCGAGCAATAAAGTTAATTCAAGTAATTCATTCATTCATTCATTTATTCATTCATTTTATCCTATAATGCGTACTACAGAGGCAGACTGTCCCCAGCTTCCAAAAGCAGAAGGCCGTCTTCGCGTCCTTGGTTCCCAGCTGATTACAGGGAGCATGGTGCGGTTTGTGTGCCCGCCTGGGTATGACCTGCACGGACCGACAACCTCAACCTGTGGCACTAACGGCCAGTGGTCACACGGCAATGACCTGCCAGGTAAAGATGCTCACGAAAGTTGCTCAATGCTGTGGGGTTTTTTTTCAAAGTTGCTCAATATTTTTTTGAGTTGCTCAATGTTATGTTTTTTAAGTTGCTCAATGTTTTTGTGAAGTAGCTCATTTTTTTAAGTTGTATGAAGTTGCTCAATGTAGTATTCTTTGAAGTTGTGCAAGTTGCTCAATATTGCATTTTTTAAAAGTTGCTCAATATTTTTTCAAAGTTGCTCAATGTTGTGTTTTTTTTAAGTTGCTCAATGTTGTATTTTTGTGAAGTTGCTCATTTTTTTGAAATTGCCTAATGTTGTGTTTGTTTGAAGCTGCTCAATTTTGCATATATTGAAGTTGCTCAATATTGTATTTTTTGAAGTTGCTCAATTTTGTGTTTGTTTGAAGCTGCTCAATTTTGCATATATTGAAGTTGCTCAATATTGTATTTTTTGAAGTTGCTCAATTTTGTGTTTTTTTTTAAGTTGCTCAATGTTGTATTTGTTTGAGGTTGCTTTTTGAAGCTCAATTAGTTTATCATGATTCAAATTTAACAAACATAATTCTAACATAATATGGCTTCATCAGTCTTTTTTGATTAATGCAAATCAAGTGACTGTAAAGAAAAGAAATTTACCCACTAGAGTTTTATATATTTTTACATAAAGAGCATTGCCTGTGTAACTGTAACAAGTATTGAACTGTTGAATTTGTTGTTCCCACAGAATGCGACAAAAACGAAACGGAGAATTAAGACGAGTCGAGTCCGGACGTGGTTCACGCCAAGAATGTCTAAATGAAGCGTGAGATGGTTAAATGATCAACAACTTCAATCTGCTGGTCTAGATAATCGCAAATTGTCAAGCAACAATAACAGCATTTTCTCTCGTCAAAATGTAACAAACAGTGTCCAGTTTAATTCCGGAATTCCAGTTTAATTCCGGACTAATTCCCATATCTCAGCAACCTTACGTCTAGATGGGCTAATATTCTAAGATATAGGTAAAAATGATGTAAGAAATATGTAGTAGCCATCGGTGACCCCTTGGAAATTAACCATATTCTGCAGAATTCTGGGAACTAGAGCCAGAATTCTGCAGAAACTTTTACCCATATCTTAGAATATTAGCCCATCCAGATGTAAGGTTGCTGAGATAGATATGGGAATTAGTCTGGAACTAGAAAGGTAACATTTGCAAGCAAATGCAATATGTTTACCTCAGGATGGTCTCGCCTACCATTTATAACTTTATTGGGGAAGAAGGATGGGAGAATATTTTGCTTATGTTGCTTACTTTTAGAGTACACTATAGAGTAACATTAACTGGGGGATTTGAACTTGTTTTTCTGTTGCTGTAAGGCCAAGGATTTAGTTTAAAATGATCACTCAGCACACACTTTCATCATGTTTGCAATTAAGAGGAAAGATGCATGTATAAGTCATGTACACATTGAATGTTTCAATCTTGACAGCTTTAATTAAACAATTTTTAAATATTCCACTTGTCTTACAATCTTGTTAACTTTAGAAATACAAGCAAACACAACAAATACAAAATACAACAAATACAAGCACTGTTGAATATGTACAGCTTTTTACTTAGACATGGCACTTAACATTTGTCTCACTATCTTATTGCAGGTATGTAAATGATAATTATGATAAGAGTTATTTTACATTTTAAGTTCTAATTGAAAAAAAAATTGAAACTATACATGGCTTATGTATAGTACTACAAACCTAAACATGTGAGCGGGGCCTGATGTTGTGTTGGAACCCCGGGTTCTTTTAGGGATGTTGCCTACGAAGAAGTAACGAACGAACGGATTTTTAAACTTTTTTCTATCTACGATACTAATTACTACAATATATAAATGAGAGAAAAAAACTGTATAATAATAATGATGGGTCCTTACAACTGGACATCTGTATAAACCGGACATCTGTACAGACTACAGAGTTCACATAGCAATAGAGTTCGCAGTTTGCTAGACTTTTACAACTTTCAGAGTTCGTCAGAGTTCAGGTCCGTGGAAACGTCGCTTCACGTCGACGCTCTCCGGTGTCACTTGATCGTCGCAGCTCTCGTCTCATCTCTAGAACTCGTCTCTCGTCCCTCAGCCTCGTCCCTCAGCTCGCGTCAAGGCTGCTTACCAGGCGGTTCCAAGCTGTGTTCCTCCCCTCCTCCGTGTTGCTGCAAGGGGCACGAACGTTCGCCCGCAGTCGCCCCTCAGTTGCGGTAGCCCTCACCGGTCCTTGGTCGAAGGGTGTCCGGCGAAGATGGCGTCGCTTCAGGGGTCCCCATTAGGGAGATGACTCGGACGAGCCGTTCTTCCGGGATCGGATGGCGCGGCGGTAAGTTACCTCTCCATCGCCAAACTTCGATGTCCCACGTGGACCTGTGCAGGAGTTGGGGAAGAGAACACACAAACACACACACCAAGCCTGACCGCCATAACTTATGAATAACTATAACTTCAACGTACGGGAGAACAAACTCCCACAGAACTCTGACTCAACACCATATTCTCCAACAAGCGACATTAATTCCGCCGACCCAGAGGGTCACGAACTCAACTGACCAGAACTCCTTGCCTCGACCCTACGAGCACAAGGTCTTAAATGCTGAGTTAACTAAAGATACGCTAAATATATATATATATGTGTATACTGATGTGATCATGTCAAATTTGGGAAAGTGCAACCACCTTATCTAGCTAAAAGTGAGATGAGTTCCCGTCAGGCCGAGGCCCAACCCCCGAGGTCTGGGTTTCCAAGGAAAACACAACACTTAGGATACTGTAACTGCCCCCTGGCTAACTACTAACCCCAAGATGGCTGCACATTTCAATAGCCGAAAATACATTATTTATTGATCCTTCCCTATTGAAGTTGAAAGACTCTTGAAAAAACCACTAGCACGTTGCGGCACCGACTTCAGCCATGCCTTCGGTTTTTCCACATTCGCTTGTCTGAATGTAACATACCTATCTAATATTTACTGGAAAAATTTAAAATTGTACAAGTGTTTCTAGAAATGGTTGCAATCTCTGTATCCTTCTGTGGAATGGCTTGGTCCAGGTCAGTCCGGTTCCTCCCCAGTCAGTTTCTCGGCTCACCAACTTCTGCTTTCTGTTCTAAGAAACATCCGACCTGGAGGATAGGAACAGCAGTAAGTGCATTTAAAAGCTGATAAGAGAAATAATCTATTATAGATTGATTAGTCCTTAACTGGTAAAAAACACAATCTAAGTTTTGTCCACACTCAGCTCTTAGAAGAGCAACTTGCATGTGACACCACCTTTGGTCTACTATGTATTTGTACTCATTGGCAAGCTTTAACCAACAATATTCTAATTCATTTTTAACACAAGCTCACCTGCTGTATTTTCAGAGCGTGATCTTCTAACTGATTGACCTAAAAAAGAAAAGGATTAAGTAGTGACATACGGTAATCATGCAGTAATGAACACCTCTAAACATGGGATTACATCTTAAGTCCTTTTTAAAGTTAAAATATGACAATAAATAATAAGAGGGAAATTGTAACAAATTAGCATTACAAAATAGAGGCTATGTATATATTAAGTAATGAGGAAAAACATCGGGGATATTTGCCCACTCCATTGGGTTCTTCAAAGGAATAGTCTAGAAAAAAAAGAAAAAAAGGTTAGATAAAAAACCTATCCTATGGAGTGAGATACAATCATGAAAAGAGATTAACAGTGATTGATTTCACTTTTTTTAATTTTTTAGATAGATATTTAATCATAAAAGAGATTAACAATGTTTCACCTTAATTTTTTTTTTTACTGATTTTTTTCATTCTTGATATCTACCCCATTCACCGGGGTCTTTACCCCATTCACCAGGGGTTACTTTTTCCACCCTCGTCCCAATCACTGGACAAGCTTGTGGTTTTCCACCCTCGTCCCCAATCACCGGGACAGCTTGTGGTTTTCCACCCATGTCCCAATCACTGGACAAGCTTGTGGTTTTCCACCCTTGTCCTAATCACCGGACAAGCTTGTGGTTTTCTATCCTCGTTCCTGATCACATGGGGAGCTCTTTAATTTCTTTCTTCCGTATTGTCGGGAATCTTCTTACCAACCTGAGTTACCTTAGTGGTCGGTAAGGGGGTTCCTATTTCATAAGGATCCCCCTTAAGAACCATTGAGGTTAGTGGTTGGCAAGGGCGGAGCAGGTGCGACTTCACTCCCCCTAACACATCCTATTTGTCTCGCACTTGAACAATCAGGTCATTCCATCATCACCTTTTCACTATCACAGCTTATTGCTGCATCACTGATAAAGTGTGCAATACACGGCATCATGGTAACTGTAAAATGTCTGTATGACCCCACAGCTCACATTTGATGGCAATGGTGAAATGTAAACGTGGTCAATTAGGGTTCCTTTCATGGTCGTCGGATCCTCCACCAACTGTTCGAAATCATTCGTCACAAAGAACGTCTTTATCTTTTTGTTGTCTTCACCAGATATCAAGTTCTCGTTAAAATCCCCAAGAAAGATTGTGGTATTTCGTTTCACCGTGGCCAAGTGCCGCATCAATTTCTCCAAATTGAATATGAATACATCTTTTTTACATTGGGTGCCCTGTAAATACATACCACAAGTATTTCCATTCCCTCAGCAGACACTTTCATAACCACACATTCTAGTGTAATGTCATTAGGAGTAGGTATTTCAGTACATCTGTATCCATCACGTACATATACTGCCACTCCTCCATGAGAGGAACTTGCTGTGGTAGAGCCTTCCTCACAAACAGGTGTCCTGTCTTTGCGAAACACAGTGAAGTTTTCTAGTTGCACCTGAGAAGACGGCACGTCTCCAGATAGCCATGTCTCCGTCAGGCATATGACATCGGCTTTGGGCAGACAGGTCGATTTAAGACTTTTAAAGTGACTTACAAGTCCTTCAGTATTGTGATGGACTACACTCAGGACCTTTTCGCTTTCAGACCTGTCATCAACACTTTGGAACGGATCAGATCTAAACTGTAATTGCTTCATATCATTGACTGCCTCCTCTACTTGTTCATCACAGTAGATAGACTCCTGCTTATAGTCTATAATGTGGAGCCCACC